CGTTCAGCTGTAACACCCTCTTAATACTTTTCTGTAATGTCACCGGAAGGAAGCACGGGGTCTGAGGTACTGTCAGGTTGCCCAAGCCTAGACAGGAACAGTCAAGATACCGAGGTTGGGTTCGAACTACGGAGGTTCCGGTGAGTAGGCTCGCGCCTTAACGGATGGCCTGTTTTGAGCTCACTTGGTAAATCTATCTGGAACAAGCTTAGAAGTAGCACTCAGAAAATTTATGATAAACCTTGCTGTGCACAAGAGGAAAAGAATTTTATCAATACACAATTGTCTGATATGTCAGGGTGTACGCCAACAAAAACAGACCTGCGTTTTCGCACCAGATGCGTAACGCAGCATTCGTAGAAATGAAAGTCGCAGGCGGTCAAATCTGTTGCCTATCTGCTTATTTTGTCCGAAATAAGGCAGCTGAAATGGCAGACCGTACTTTTTTCAGAATATTTATTCCTGTCTATTATATGAGTTACTGAGTGCCTAGCTTTCCTCTTCGAGGTATAACCATCTTGGAAGTTTTGTTTTAGTGAATCTATGCGGCATTTGAGTACTGCAATTGTGAAGCTCCCATACTCTGCCGTGAATTTTATGGTAAAAGTTTGGCCGTTTTCCAGCTGAAAACTGCCACAGTTCTCCTGGGCTTGCGTATCACTTGTTTGTCCTTATGATTTTATGATGGGAAACTGAGTAGAATTAGTGGTCTAGTTTGTAGAGGAATAGTAAAACTCAATTACTTTGAGCCCAGTGAAATTCCAATGAGATTTGGACACATACTGGTTATTCAGGTTGCAGTCACTTCACAATCAGAGGCTGTTTGTTCTGGGGGTTAAAAGGTGGCTTTTAAACAAGTTGAATTAGATTAGAACTGTTAACACGTGATGCTTTCAATGGAAAGGTGGTCATTTGACGGTGACTATATGATGCATAGCTTCAACGTAGGAATATGTGATAGCAAGACCTCATTTAATGTTGGAATATCGAGGAGTATCACTATATATTGCAGGTCTATTGGTGGTTGCCGGTCACTTACGTTTGGCCGGTAGAGGCGGAAGTTATCCTCTCATTGTTGTCGTGATATGTTGTTTCGTTTTCGACTTTAAAACGTACGCAAAAGTTTGAACCAGCGTATGTGATGGCATTTTGCGAAAGTTCAACATTTTACCTTTCCCCTGTGAAACTTCTGTCAAGGAGACTTTTTCCTGTCAATCTCCAGCTACTAGGAAAGCGCATCAGATTCCGTCTTTTGCACAAAACACGGGCTCCTGGTGCTCGCACAAACACGGTGTTCACGTGTACTCGTCTCATTGGGTTCGACAGTCACAAATGAGCGTATTCCATGTGCAGTACTCGAGGCCAAAGGTGTTTGAATATCTTGGATTTATACGGGCCTGTAAATATCCAAAGTACAAAGACAGTAGTATATTCTGTTACCCAAGCTAGTGATTTATCCACTGAAATGACATCACTGTGAATGAAAGGTCGACAAGCAGTTTCAACGAGTGCTCCTCGTTCTGTTAAGCAGTGTGTTTGTGTCAAGAAATGAGTGCACCAGACAGGTGGAGTAGATTGTAGTCTACGCCCAAGCCACAGTCCATGACAATAATTTTAGCACGTAAACATGAGACGTGCAACTGTAACACACCCAGAAAAACATCAGGAACTATGTAAACATTGCTTTTTCCCTCGTGAATTCTGACTTCATAGTTTGACAGTATCTCACAGTTTTATGGATTAAACTAGGACAAACCAGTTAGGTAACCCAAAGCATAAACATACGGTAATCCCTTGAACCTGAATAATTTGCTCATCACAGCCACGGCGTTGCTTACTGAAGCCATCGGATAGTGTAGAAACGCCGCCAATGTTTTGCACTAGCTATCAGAATGACATCACCAACGTTTTTAGAATAACAATGACATCCTATCTCAACGAGAAGCGTTGAGACCACATTCAATTAGGTGACGCACAAGGTGTGATATTTCCTCTATCTCCCTACGAACAACCATTCATTAATTCATCCTGTGATTCTTCTCAGTGTTTCGGTTGCTGTGGCAAGCAACAGGGATCAACGAAGGACAACGCATAAGTGTCAGAAAATATTTTGTGAAAAAAGCCGTCAGAATCACAGGTAGTTGTTAACTGAAGACATCGTTGGATAACCGCGGCAAAAGTGACGGAAGTGACAAATGCGGAACTCATAGAGAGTATACAGGTAGTCTCCAGATCTTTAACTAATGTGTTCTATTAGCCTGTTACTGGATATGTACTCAAAGGTAGTTGGTCACAAAAGGTCGTTTTGTCGTTAGTCATATCTTGCCCTACGTATTACGTGTCGTATGGCGAAATGAATAAACTAGATGAGATAAAAATCCATTCTGAACTAGCTAAACAATGGTTGGCAGCTTTCATAAACGTTGACGTGGGAATTCTGCATAGAATGCACAACACATGAGTTTTAGATGACAGAATTTCTGCGAAAAAGGTTCTTCAAATTGATAGTGTCAGTTAACACCTGATCACGAATGCACAGTGGGGATTATGAAGAAAAAACTAGGTAAAAAAAAGTGAAAATTTATCAAGAAGTCCGGAGATATTGGACTGTGGTATTTCTATGCTTTTTTTCAGTTTTTTGTTATTCTGATTCGCCCACACGGTTCTGTGTCCATTGGTGTCCCACCACACGAGCAAACGTCGCTGGGCCATCTGACTGTCAGTTATCTGACGGAAGGGCTCGCTGCCTATTAACAATAAGCTAAATAACACCTTTCCGAATCCACAAGATCCTTTTATATAACAGCTTTTAACGTTCATACTCTATGTTAAACTGGCAAACAGATAATGATCACTGAAACCTTATACTCCCTTAAAATTTATGTATGCTGTGTCTCCGAAACACGCATACAAGTCTCACACTTGGGTTTTCATCTCAGTATGCCACGGATGATGGCAGTCTTTTTACACTTCTCGCTCTGTGTTCCCGGTGAAGCGATGATTCGTAAAATATGTGGCGTGAGAGTTGCACTCAGCTCCAGAGCTGAACACGCTTTTATGGATTGGATCCCAGTGAATAGTCGTCTTTGCACCGTACGGTTATCCAGCTCAATCAAGCTCAATGCCTGTCGGCATAAGAAGCGGTGCCCATTTGTGGTGTCGGTTTATGCTCCCGCGGACTGCAGTTATGACAGTGAGTAGGATGTAGTCTACAAAGAGTTATCCGGGCTCATTCTTCAAGCGAAAGCCAATGACACTGCGACTATTGCAGGCCAGTGGGACAGTGGAATCACGTTTGGGCGGTCGATTCAGTCGTCGCAGTGATAACGGAGGGTGACCCCTCCAGTTGTGTGCTGAACACGAACGGCTTCTGGCAAGTACAAACTTTTGGTATAAACACTTGTATCACCTGGCGGTCACCAAATTCATCCTGGACCAAGTTGGATCACGTGGCCACCGGTGGAGAGCCACAAGACTGCCGTCTCTTCCGGTACACAGCTTGATTCCGATCCCACCTTGCTGCATTCTCGCCTGACGGTTCGTTTCCCTTTAGGCCCTCGCAAGTCAGCTAGAAGCATGCCAATCCACTACCTTTGAAGAGCTACCATAGCTCAACAGTATCGATCTGAGCTATCCCAACAGCTCTCCATAGTAAACCCAAACTGTACTGGTAGTGAGCATGTAGGTGAAGAGTGGCAAAATATGAAGGGGTTTATCTTGGAGGGGTTTAGTGCTGTCTGTCCGACTTTTCCTGTTCGACCACAAGACCACTGGATGTCGTCGAGATCACTATCGATGATCGGTACCAGGAAATGGATACCAGCGGGCCACGAGTACGGCGGTTCACGCAAGTCGTTCAAACGCCAAACAATGAAGAGCCTATGGAAAGACCGAGATCTCTGGTGAACTTAGAAGGCCCGGGAGATCGAGAAGGATTTTGTTACCGTGCCTTGTATCGACTGGCCTAGAAACACAACGGTCAGTTAAACAATGAGTGAAAAGGTGGTTCACTGATTCACTTGCAAAATGCTGCCTGGAAGGATAGGCCAAACACTTCCAAGAACAGTTTAGCTGGCCTCGTGCAACACAGCTTTTGGAGAAAGTGCATGCGACCGAATGGAATGCAAAACTTAATCGCCCATCTAAAGGAGAAATAAAGTAAAGTTCGAAATATTCGTAATAAAACATGACAAAGCACCATCCAGTCCTCTTTAAAGAAGGCGAAGAATACCTGGTGACCCATCTGACAAAGCTTGTTGGTGCTATATGGAACAAATGAAAGTGGGTGTAGAATCGGGTATGCAGACAGTTAACCCTATCTTCAAAATGGTTACGCGGACTCTGTGTGGAAATCACCGTGTCATCAGCCTGGTAGTTGTGGCATCGAAGGTGCTCTCTGGTCTTTTCCTACTGAATACAGGGAGAGGCGGTTCGGCGAAAGCCAAGCTGGGTTCTGTCTTGCAAGAGGGTGCATCTATCATAATTTCACCCTCCGACAGATTCTCGAACAGCGACAATGCTTCTAGTAATGAACAGTGGTTGTGTTCCTTGATCTGAAACTTACATTTGGCTTTGTCGACCATCAAGCAGTATCTGTGGAGTGAAGGTGACCCCAATAAATTTACGACCCTCTTGAAGACTATACACCGACCACCGCGGCCGTGTGAAGGTCTACGGAAAACTCTTTTCCGAGGTCACCACATAATGTGGTGTCAGGTAGGGATGTCCTCTTTCATCTTTCCTCTTCTAGTTTATAGTTGATGTGATAACGGAAGAATCACTATCAGGCTACAAGGCCTGGGCGTTTGAAGTGCCACCGGGAAGTCTTGCTCACTGATGTAAAGTACGCAGACCACTCAGCTCTTCTTGAGTCTGACCTTGTGGTAATGCAAACAATATTCATTAATATAAATGATTCCCTATCACGGTTTGACATTAGCTTTACACCTGCAAAGTGTAAAGTGCTACCGCAATACTGGGTTGGCTCGAAATCTAGCCTCATGCTTGCATATGAGACGATTGAGTTAGTAGACAAATTTGTTTATCTGGGTAGGCGTGTCATTCCCGGAGGTCTCGCGAAAGATGATATCTTCATCCGGATTGAAAAGGCCAGAGCAGCTTTTGTTAGCCTGTGTCACCTGTGGCGTAGCCGTGACATCAGCTTACCTTTTAATGGTCGAGTTTACAATCCTGCTGTGCGCTCCATGTTACTATACGGATCAGAAACGTGGCCGCTACGCGTCGAAGATGTCAAAATGTTCTCAGTGTCTTCGGAGCATCGCCCGAGTCTGGGGGAGCACCTAATCAATGTTTTTGAAGTACGTTAGAAGCATTCGGGAGGAACATCTCAACCAGGACAGATGAATTGATCACACTTCATAGGTTGCGTGCTGCATATGTTACTCGACCGACTTCCTCGAAGGGTTCATTTTGCACTACCGCGTAAGGGTGGAAACGAGCCAGAGGCGGCCAAACAATGGCTTGAGAGCGATTTACAAAAGCCATTACAAGCAAACCCAGCTGCGCTAGCACTGCCGTCTTCCTGGATGTGGATTCCGAGACGCGCCATATCAATCGTTAGAGACATGGTCAGACATGACCCGGTCGCACCCTCAATGGCGCTCGTGCATCCAAGCTATTGCACTAGATGCATAGCTCTTTCCCAACATCATCACAGCAGTCCACCGACAGTCCTGTATTTAGGCAGCAACCTATCAGCTCCAGCCTCCAATACGTAACGCACGTTTTTGACCGGATGTTAAATCCTAAATCGAGACACATGACCGGAATCTTGGTACCGTTGTATACCTTTGATTATTCGTCGTTTGGTTTTTACCATTATTTGATGAAAATAAATTGGCAACTGGAAAGTGTTTGGTTAAATAATCCGATTCCTGTCCACCTTCAACGAAGGACTCAGTTCAGCGAAACTTGGTACTGATAGGCTGATAGGTTTCAAATTTTCTATCCAACAATCAGTAATCTTGATTTGCTTCATGTGTGTGAAATTCAGTTTTTTGTTACAGTGATTTGCAATTGAAACTGACCTTCATTCCTTCAGTAAATCCTTGTGCCCGCAGACCATAGCAGATAAGGATGGGACTCTGAGTATATCTTAATGTACACACATGCGAGAATGAACATATTTAACTTTGCCCACATTTTTCAATGATGTCAGTTTTCAAATGCAGTGTACAATCAAGCCTGACCTCATATCCGTCCCAGCTCGTGTGAGCTCGTTCCAATGTATTTCTCTCAGAGCCAACAGTGAATTTGGGATATCGCTCAAAAACGCAGGGCGTTTTAAGAAGAACACAAGTTTACTTCCCCAACTCTTCGCTGTTTTTGCGATACGACAACTGATATTAGTCACCCATCAGTTCGACTATTAAGTCTCAGATGTTTGTCACATGGTAACATCAACTACGGTCTGACGGTATTTATTGAATGCCAGATCCAACATGTCAAAATATTCCTATTTTCTGGCACTCTTGTGGAAGTCTTCTGAATCGCTTGAAGAGGGGGACATGTTTGTTTGTTTTAAGGCATCGTACGACAAAAACAAGGTAGGAATTGAGGGAGATATCAGAACCCTAACCCTAACCCTAACCCTAACCTTACTAGTAATCAAAGCTGAGACCGATGGAAGGATTAAAAAAGCAAAGAACAAATTACTTTACCTGTAGGTACAACCCGCAACAAACAAACAGAAAAAGGCTCACTAAAGACAGTGGTTGCGTGAATGACCCAGTCAGTTATAAGAAACCAGATAGTGAACAGGCTTGACTGTAACAAGCATGCTCATTGGGAGTTTCCACTCTGGCGGCTCACACAATACGCAGTAGAATTTGTAACTGAAGGAGCCATTTTTGAGTTAAATTGGCTTCAAACAATATCAACGTGTCCTCACTCGTAAGATGTCTTGACGTAAAGAGAAGGTGCCACCGTACGCTTTCTGAAATGTCTCGAGTTCAAAAACCGGATGTCTTTATGCTGAATGAAGGTGACAAAATAAATCTGATGATGTAAGGCAAGCAACCACAAGCGTCACCTTGGTGAATTTTCGGTTGGGTAATCCGTAAATCTAGAGCTATGTATAAAAGTTTTAACGGGAACATCAGTGTTGCACATTACACATAAAAACACAGCAAGTTCTATGTGGTGAGTAATGCTGATTCGCTTTCGAAACCATCAGAAAAAGTTCAACCCAAGCCTTCAAATGCATTCAGCTTAGGTGAGAAGCATTGAGCATCAATTACTAAACGTGTAACTTCGGTCATTTGTTTAAATAAAAGCAATCTACATTCACGCTATGTCGGTAAACCCCAAGGATTTCCGGAAGGGACCTCCATACGCTTTTGTATATGGAGGTTAAGGCCGGTAAATATGGAGCCAGATGCAGAAGCTCAAAGTTATTGTACTACGACTCATCGACAATTTACAGGTCACTAAAACGTAGTCTAATATACCACGTTCCGCCTTTGGTTGTTACAAGGGATGTAAAGTGAACCTCTGAAAAAAGGTAAGCGATTTTCCTCATAAAGGGTTTCTTCTTCATTAGGTATTGAAGTAGGCCACCATTTGAAATTGCTCCAAAGATACACAGATTGAAGCCGCGACCGTTGGTCGCAGCCAATCGACGGGCAATCGTCCAGTCACAAAACAAACTACAATTCTTTAAACACGCATTCACCGGCAAAGAGGATACGTGATTTGTTCTATCCAGCTGGTGGATTTTCTGTCCTGCTCTTTCAATATATTTTAATGAATAAGTAATTTTGTTTATTGTTTGCTTTCTTCTGTGTTTATCTGATGGCAAATAAGGCCTCCTCCATACAGATATCAAACTATAATCTAAGTAGAATATAAGACTGAATACCTTGGGGACTGAGCACATCTGATGCGGAACGAGAGAGGAAAAACCCTCTGTGAGATGCTAAAGAGTTTTCGGCAACCCCATGAGTAATACATTCAGAAAAGAAAAGAACATCCAAGCAATTAGGTATTGCCAAAATACACCCAATCTTGTTTGAGCTCACCTCAGTCGAAAGCCTTAGATATTCCGGGCTGACAGGCACCAGTGCCTGTAAAACAGTCAAACCCCGGTAGTCATCAGGACTGTGATCAGAAAGTAAGAGCGCTGCGGAAAATAGCTGGAACCTGAAAGTCCACCTTTCCTTCCGGAGTGTAGAAAACGGTACTGGTATCAACATAGATAACTAATGGAGGAATCGGTGTAACTTTTCAAATACTTTGCTCACGTTGGAATTACTTTACATCCAGCAGAATGTAGTTCACCAGAATATTGCTGTTGTAGCACGTTATGGGCGACTGCACTGCGTAACTTCTACTGCGTAACGTATGCATACAAGTTAAATCAAGCTATCTCTTTGTACCATGATGAAGACGGGGTCAGCCATTGTCAGTAATTCGCTTCTTGGAACCTTCAGATGGCATTCTAGACTTCACCTTAACCTAGAAACCGTTATTCTGTTATTCGTAGACCAGTATCCATCCACCCAAAGTAACCACTGCATAAACCTCGATTACTGCGCGAAGTAATCTTCGAGGAAAGTCAACCTGGAAAAAAGGTAAAAAGTGCGAATATACATAACAAAGATAATGCTGTGCACTATTCAGGGCGATTTTTCTGCTTTTGGGTAACCGAGTTATGAGTTATGGAGTTCATGTTTACAATAATCACAAAAATTAGAAGGTGATGAAACAAAAACCTTGAAAATTGTGACTCTTTAGGGAAAAACTCTGAATAATGTTCGCTCGTTATTAACTTGGGGCTTCAATCCACATAGGATGGACTCTTGTAGGGAATAGAAATTCCCAGAAAAGTGACAAAGTTAACAGTCTCGTTACTTTCTTATAGCATTTCGCGAAACTAGAATAGATACCTCCCCTGATTGTTTGCATGTCCTCCCAGAAGTCACAGTTAACCGCTTAAATGTGGCTAATTTGAACCAGTAATGAAACGGACAAGGCAAAAGTTGCCAACGTTTCATCGCTGATTATTACTTTCGAAGCAGAGTATAAATAAATGAAAGAACATCTGATCAGATAAGTCAACGAACAACCTGGTAGACAAAGTAGCAAAATCTCGCGGCGTGCGAGTACAGTCACCTAGACTGGGTTACAGTAGTATCCACAACTACGGCTGCACAAGATCTTAGACCAGGTACAATTCAAACACTGAAGATCTCAATCAATCCACTTGAAGGCGTCAAGTTTTTCAGTTGAAAACAGTATCTAGGTAGATCTTAAGTGCACGTACTCGAAAGATCCTCTTCTTCCTGTTTATTGACGGCAAAGCATCATATACCCTGAAGGATGTGGTCGGTATCAGGGTATACATAATAGTTCAACGTATTTCAACTGCTCACAAGTGTTTTTGGTCTTCTTATGATGCACAGATATACTAACCATATAAGTGAACCAACCAAAGATCCAGAAACTTGTTTTATAACTTTGAGTGTCAGTTTCGGAGCATATCTGTGGATTTGGATGAAACGCTTCGAATCACGAAAGCCAGAAGAGGATTCGGTGTACACAAACATTGTGCACTTTAGGAAACCTTGATTAATTGCAACGGCTATACAATTCATTTACTGTGTTTCTAGTGTAAATGGTTTACATTACGTCCAGCTATTAGGAGGAAATTCGTGCTTCAATTACGATTTGCAAATCTTTCATGTGGTGAAGAGCCATCCCTGATAATCTACTTCCATCTTAAAAAGTTACCTAAATACAACAGGTAACCCAGGTGTATGTTCTAATGAAGACTGCATCAGTTGAATTGGGATATGGTCTAGTTTTAGTGACACTAATGAAGTAAACACAGCTGACCAATATGATCGATAGAATATATTCCAAAACCTTTCCGAATACTTTGTCTCCTTCCTTCTCGGTACTTTGTTGAATTTGTTTATGATGACTGCTTCGCTCGCTGTAAAGTGTTGAAAAAACGAGCGAGATAGGTGGACCAGAATACATGATGGATATTCGATCAGCTCAAAATAATTCATCGTGTATTCAACACATCGGGCGAAAATCCGATTTCGGGCCTATCACATTAAACGGGGAACGTCAATTGTGCGACGATGGCGTGAGCAGTTGAGTTATCGGTCGACTGACCAATGAAAACTGCACAAAACTCAGTGATCGTAATTCCTTTAAATTGATGCACTTGTCACACGGATAAGGTGTGTATGTAGAAGGATGAGCGAAACAAAACCACGAAAAAACTCGACGTAATAAATTGCACCAGAACAGGCGTTCTTCTCAAATGCGCACAAAAATACAGTGTGAAGTATGCATCGCACTGTGTGTAACCGGAAATGTTCTAAAATCAAACAGATTTATGATACAACCAATGTGGATATCCAACCAACAGTTTTCGTCCCCGTTTTGACCACATATTCATACCGAGTTGATGGGAAATTCGGATGGCGTGGATACTATTTATAAATACTGTCTACGTCAGTTGGCATGCGTGTGTGGACTTGTTCACCCTTATCCATTCTTATTCAACAACAACGAGTTATTGTGGCGCCTTCGCCGTTGATTATACATTCTGATGCAACAGTGTTGTTATTCGTTGACATTAGTCGCTTGATGAAGGAAGTGAGGTACTTCGTATGACAAGCGAGCGAGACGCTGGATAGAATGGGGGCTGAGAAATCTTACGCCTTACAGGTGCCTTTTCGAATCCAGCATTTTCCGCAGAGGATTCCAAAGGAATGTCGTCCGCTTTGCGTTGTGGTAGGATGCCACTGTTGGTAGGGTTGTTCTGATGACTACTGCAACGTACATAAGCTGCGACATTTTTACACAGTAAGCGTGTGCTATGTATGGCGCCGTGCTTGTCATACGGAAACTATTCGGGTTCAAGAGATTACCGTATTTTTATGATTTGTTTACTTAATTAGTTTTTCCTAGTTTAATCTACGAAGGGGTGAGATTCGGTTAAAATAAGGGGCCAGAATTCACCAGGGAAAAACAATGTTTACGCACTTCTTGATGTTTATATGGGTGTTATATTTGCACTTCTCATGTTTATGTGCTAGGATTCTTGTCCTTGACTGTGACTCGGGCGTAGACGACAACCTATTTCACCAGTCTGGTACACTCATCTTTTGACACGGACCCACAGGTTAATAAAAGTAGAATTACTTTGAAACCGCTGGTCGACTTTTCATCCACTATGATGTTATATCACTGTTGTGCTGTTATCTGCCTTTCTGTAACGGAATCAGTTTGCTGAAATCGGCTGTATGGTTGTCGTCTGACTGAACGGGTGTATATTGCAATGCATGTGCATAGAAAGAGGATGCAGATAGACCAGATACCGAATTATCGCAGGAAGCACTTAAAGAGACATAAAGAAAGTTGCATCCAAACAGTGTTCGAGAGAATGAGAACAGTTCGCTACATTAGCAGTGAGAACAGAGGAGGGTAGTCGTCTACACCAGATTTTTAAAAAAGCGGATACCTACGAGTGCTCATCGTCAGAACCCTGAAGAACGGGCTGAAGTGAACCGTCAGATGAATGGACCAAAAAATATTGCAGATATTTTGGTGACACGTAGATAAAAAAAACCACGAGAGCAGAAGCGGAGAAACCAATTCAAAAGCTCATCCCGGCATTAATAAATCAGAAAAATGTCAATCAGAAAGCCAAAAATAATTTTTCACCGATTTCCGTTGACCATTCACTTTTGTGTCTGCGAATCTAGCCGTTGATGATGACACCCCACATCCCAACGTGGAACGTTCGCAACACAATCAATCATTTTAGGGGACAGACCAATGAGCTCTGTAATAGACCATGTGGAATAAGTTACGGCCGCTGAAATAATGCTCACAAAAGCACTATAACCGTCCGGATATAAACACAGTTTATAGCTTTTAGAATCTCCTTAGTTCGCCAAACCTAAAGTGCAAGATATTTAGGATGAATGCTATACCACTGCTGGTAGTATTCATAGTTTTAGCGCAGTTGTTTTCACTTTCTACAGATTGCTGTTTAGGACGGACGACTTATTATGAGAGTTGGATCCGTTTGGACGGTCTTTTTTCAGCGCGGCAAGGATACAAACAGCCTTCTGTGTCAGTCGGGTTACATTTTTCAAGACAAAATGTAAAATTAAGGACGAACAATTCGTTTCTAATAGTTTTTTTGTTTGTCTCTCGACTGATGATTGACCATGGTGATCATGACCAACTTGGTAATACTTTTATTGCCGCCGTCAGGATTTATACTGCTGCTGCTAATGATGATGACGGTGATGACAATGACGATGATGATGATGGTGATAACAATGATAATGATATGATATGAACTTTGTATCAAGTCGAAAGCCTGTAGATCGTAAGGATGTCATGCACTACGTTGAAAATGTCTTTTGTCTTGATGGAAGCCATTATCAAACGTGGTTATTGCTTCCGGTACACAGGTGTACTTACATCTCTGGCCAAGTTATAAATTACAGATCCAGCTGTATTTAGTTGCAACGCTTGTCCAAGGTGAATTCGTGGTCAGCTGATAGTATCTGGTGAACGTCATCCAAGTTGGATTTCAGTGGAAGATAAAGTTGACAAAAACTCAACTGATGGGCCCGAAGAAGGGTGAAACCGGTTGTGGGCTGCTGAAGATTTTTCAGCAATTTTATGAGCAGTGTCTTTTGTATAAACTACTACCTATGCTCACCTCCAGGGACAGCTTTAATTGTTTGCTTACCCGGCCTCTACCTTACCATTGCTTCAATAATTTCTGTAACACTGAAATTTACAATCACTTATGTGGTACAGCAGATTTCAAAGTTTATTCCCATACTGTCATCCCTCTCCTGTCCGATAGCTCACGAGACCTCTGCAGGTTTGCTTGTTAGCACATCTCCCGCTGGTTGACTGCACACTCATAGTCCCAGTCAGAGAAATGCTTTTGAACCCACGCAAACAATATCCAGTATTCAAATCTTGCGCCAAATATCGACGGAGTGATCAACATTGAACTGCCAAAGTCAACAGTGAAGTCGACAGGTCATAAGCAGTTTTCATAGACCATCCGATTTAGAAAAACGACTCAGAAAACACCTTTCTGATATACATGATTAGATGAGACTGTGACATACTCCGGTGTGCGTGTTCACCACCAGTTATTGTTGAAATAAACCTCTGTACGTTTGTTGAAGAATGCCTTCCTAACGTATCGGTTTTATGGACTCTCTCTGTAAGTGTTCTTTTAGCTCCTGTCTAAGCCCACCAGGAATGTCTAACATCTACTCAACGTCCGGTGTATAAATGTATTGTGCTCCGCAGAACAGATGACTTTGCTCGAGTCTAGCTGTACATCACTGTGTAAGTACTACAACCACCATCATAAAACTACATACCGTATATTATATGCGTTTACGACTAAATGAGCATCACTTGGGCATCTGTTTATCTCCTCTGGGCTGAGATAGCTCAGGGGATAATGCGCGAACTTACTGACAAAATGGTCCGTGGTTCGAATATAACCTCTGCATATCGACTTCTCCTATCTATGCCTGGGCAACGTGGCGGAACTCGTACCTCTTTCGGGTGACCTAGCAGCTACGCATCGAAAAGGTGTTACAGCTAAACGATTAGAGTTATTATTGTATATTTCTTGTGGTAAATAAACTATCGGTTTAATGTCTACCATTAGTGTATTGCTATGATAATCCTTGCACATTTTACGTGAAATACGATGGTACCAGTTGTCGCCTTATTTGATGAGCTATTTTGCAAGCCGATTTGAAGGAATGATGGAAACTAAAACACCAGTAGGTCAAAACTAATGGAACAATTATTAACTGCATAAGGAGTATTCGGTTTCACAGAGAATTTTGCGGGAATTCAACTTTGGACTTGTCACTGGCACCTCATTAGGTTTCTTTGAACCGACAATACCAAATTTTTCTTGTGAACACGACAATCTGCAACCAGCACTAACGTAATGGAGCCGCTTCTGATCAATCTGGTGCAACGTCCTTTAAGCTCAACGCAGACTCGGTTCTCATGTTTTTGGTAGCGAAACATAGAGGCTGACTCTGCTTAGGCACACTAAACCTTGTTGAAGTGAATAAGTATTTGTTCAAGGAGCACTTCAATTTTACCTACAAGTCTCGCCTAGTAGGCACGGTTGTCTGACATTGAAGAACGGTCTCATCATACAATCAAAGTAAACAAGTGTTCACTATGATGGATATTGGAAGAATTCAGTGAGCAAATGAACTTAATAACGTTTTCTGGAGGACTACGCATTGAGTGAACGCTTCCTCAAGCTGCCATATTTGATAGACTTTTATCTCTTAGTTAGTATATCAGCTCAACCTACGGACACATGTCTTTTACATCAGGGTCCGTCATGCGAGATTTTGTAAGAAAGAGAGAAGTAAGCATATTTGTCAAAAAAGCATTGTTTATTTCCAAGATAAGTGAAGCGGTTGACTTGAATTATGGTCGAGTTTCACCGACACTACGACAATGAACACACTTAGTCAAGATGATTGGCAATTTTTGGTATGATGTGTTTGAAAAACTTCTCCATAGACTGTTTGTTCGCTTCTTTTGTTAGCACTCCCTTGAAATGTTCTATGAAGACTGGTTCAGCACTCTGTAAAGCAATGAAAAATAATGAGATAAATGGAAGTTGGAACCATCGTTTTTTACCAAAATACCTGACGAACATTCAGCCAGCTCAAAGTGACGCTCTATAACTTCAGCAAATCCGTCGCATTTCACTGTCTATGAAGATAGCTAACCACATTTTGTGAGAAATATGCTAGATCAGGTTAGCCTATTTAGATATCTGAAACATCCTTCCAAAGGAAACATGAAGCGTCTTTTGTGCCGCATATTCGGTTGAGGAGAGTCACAGACGGAGTCTTCCATTCGGATTCATAAAAGCCAACTGATTCCTCCCGTTAAACTTTCGCAACTGAGCGCATTCTATCATCTGAATACAACTTAGTGTTGAAGTAGAACATAATGTTGATAGAAGCTTGAAGAATATGGCAGACTAAAAAGCCCCATTTGTGTTGTCAAGACGCTTCCAACAACCTTATGTGTAGCGTTTTACATCGGACGCGGAAACTGACAGCGGTAACTCACTACAAGTGGAGCGAGCTCAATAGGGTATAAAAAATTCCGCGCACACAGTTACTTCAAAAGACTGCTATTAAAATACTTCCTTCGATCCCGGTTGGAAGTAGGAGGATTTAAAGGATGGAATCTAGACATCTCACGATTTCCTTTTACTGTGTGCGTATGTCGTTTCAGATTCTCAGAGCCCACAAATCGTAAATTAACAGTAGATCGTTTGGTGTGACAACAAACGCCTATAAATTTGTACCCATAGTTAGAACCTGTAAAGCTCACACAAAGAATCTGACTTAAATTCAAACGCTGTCCTACAGTTTTACCCGGACGAACTATCACGGGTAGCTAACTGAAATAGTTTATGTCGGTATTTTGATACCTACCATTATTAACATGAAAAGATAAAGGATGGATACTCACCAGGAATTGTTGCTTTGTTACATTTCGAGTAGTGTGTTCTTTGCCACTTTTCTCCAACACGGCTTCCAGTTCGCCATCATCCGAAGCACTATGAAGCATTTCCAAAATGGAGTCTGTAAAGGTCCGGCCGTAGTACTTAATCCCCTCTGAGGCTTCGACGGTGTCTTTCGTCAGTCCCTCCATCTTGGTAAAAAGACCGATGTATTCCGGATGAGCTGTGAAGAGACTAGAGCATAACTCTGATTAGCGTAGAAGCTAAGAAAGCTTACGCCATGTAGATTGCCTTTCCAAACTCAGTCCTTTGTTCACCGGTGCTCACCGACGGGTTCAGCTCTTCAAGAATTGCGTCTACCTCGTCTTTTGTCAGGGGTGCCATTACACTGGAAAGAATGCTTGTACTGCTATTCTCAGTAGCTGATGCAACAGAGATTACCTGCCCCACTTTTATACCTTATTCCCCTCGGATTCGATAAACATTAGCTGCATCCAAAATCGGTACATAAACATGCGAAGCAGATTGACTACCTTGTGTTTATGTTTCAACATATGTCAGCGCACTCAGTATGTTACTACGGTTTGAACTAGAGGTTTTTCCAACTCTAAGTGTTTCCGCGCTTCTTACAACACTTCGTGCGGCGTTGCATCACTGTATAACTTTAACACTCTCCCCAAAATCATGAGCTTTCCTAGAACGGTGCAGAACACCATCGAAATCCCACTAACATGTAAACACCAAGAGCACCATCGCATATGCACACATACCACTCAAGAACGTTTTGTGATTTCAACTTATTAACCAGATTCCACCGACTCATCTACCCGCTTGCTTTGCAACAATGTACTCACAAATCACCTCTACTGAAGATGTAATCCTTGCAGTCTGACTATTCGGGCCAGAGAACAGTCAGTGACAAACCAAAAAATGATAAAGCATCAAGATAACTTGCATTCAAAACTCCGACTTACTCTTTGTTAATTCTCGCCGGGGGTTTATCAGATTAGTTATTTTGGCGGTTATCAGCCTACAGAAGTTCGAAAAATCAACTTACCAGGATTTTTTGTATTTGTTTAAGATATGTTCTTAGTCAGACACCATCTGTTGATTCAATTAACGTTGCCCATATAGACTTAAAAAAGAGAGGATCGAGAAGTTATCATGGGAAAAAAGGGAATCAGGCATAGTTCTTCTAACCTATTAAAGGAGAACAAGTCCTGGTGCATGTCTGCTACACATGCTGTTAGTGTAGTCGCGTATGGATTCGGAACAAATGTTTGAACGCAAGCAGACTTTGGTAAATAATTTCGAGTTCTGAACAACTTCACAAGATAGGGTTCCAGGGAAGCACTGCCCAAGTTCGAATCCTTGATTGTTGACATTCTACCAAAGCCGGATAATGTACGCTCGATGTAGTCCTAAAAGGTTACCCAAACCATTATTTTATGTTACTCGATGTATTTAGAGAGAAGACAACCGGCTAGTTGTATTAGCAATCCATCAGTCTTCGTGGGATAAAGAGACCGCTGAGAAATGATGCAGCTTGCTGAATTATTTTCATAATCAAATTCAACCTAAATAGCTCAAATCTACAATGTCCTGAGGGGATCATGTTTTACATTTAAGTTCACAAAATGTGTCCGAGCCAAATAACGGGTGTGAAATTTTTTAATTATGTACATTTTACAAAGTGATTGTGTCCGAAAATTGTGGGGCATGGTACAGACTCGCGCATTCGTCAGCAGTATAAGCTTGCGACACATACAGCTCAGTTAACCTTTTCCGTGCACTATACATGACAAATGTGAACTGAGTACGGACTGACTTCACTTTAGAGTGGATTCTAAACTCATTCACTGATAAAGTTTTGTTAGAATATCGCGCAATTATTCCAGCTTGAGGCACAAAATCAGATGGCTTGAAAGGGAAACACTGTCACCTTAGTCATATTATATATATATTGATTGTATATCGGACTGCTTCGCCAGACACTGCACTAATGCAGCCAACTATTCAAACACCCCTGAACTGTTCAATGACCGGCGCCGATGTGCCTTCGGCTGTAATACTGCGTTCGACCTAGGCAAAGATATCGAGTTTTTATCAACATGCTGTCACCGAACATGGCATCAAACCAATCGGTTCGTTGTGGAATCAACTGATGTTGTCATTGTGAATCTTATGACCTGGAGTAGGGCAAAAGTGACTATGTAGTTTGAAGGCACAGTTTGTACGATTTTGATTTACCAAGGCGAAAAAATGACCTGGCAACGACTTAGTCGATTTGAATGAAGTGTGAGAAGTGAAACTGGTGTTCTGGTGAAAGGGGTCAGTATTACAGCTGCAGGATATGCATGCGTTATCATAGAAAAATCATGTGCATTTTCGTGGGATAGATTCAAGCCACTGCGGATAAATTGACTTGCTTTTGATGTCGTTCTTTGTTACTATTTTGCCTCACCTTTGAAGAAACCTAGCGGACGTTTTTCAGCGTACCACTCAAAAATTGTGAACTTTTCTGTTCTAATTTTTGGCTAGCAGATCAAATCCTAACCGCTTCGGCCTGTAAAATGATTGCATTCACTGACCAGTCATGAAATAGGGCGTTGTTGCCCTTGTACTGGTCATCATGACTCCAAATACTGAGAACCGATTTATAACCCGTCTGTCGTCGAACTTATCTCCTCTTCTGAAATATTTACTCTTTAAAAGCGGGAACTTAGACGTAAAACCCCAGCCCCTCCGTTAATGGCAGTGGTACCTGCTCACTAGTCCTAAAGAAACCGTTAACAACACTGTGTTGAGCTGACAACATTTCCATCGTGTAGGATTTTGTGATGAATTCTGCTAACTTGAACTTACTGGGTCAGTTATTCGAATACTTGACCAGTCAGTCAGTCAATCACGTTCATAATGGCTCCAAAATTTAGAAGAAATCTGAATAGAAAAATGTAAGAGTACACATTTGGCACATGTTGCTCTGCACCTAGCACAACCTCACCACACGAAGGCTCGCTGGTAGAATCCTGCGAATCGATATCTTATTCCGCTGAAAACAGAAATTCGGAACACAACCTCGAGATGGAAAAACAGTTCAGCACGGTAATCTGGGGAATACGTTGAAATGTACTAAAAACAAAAGGAGATGGGTGCCCGAAAGAATGTCCCGGGGCCGAATTGATGCGTTGTACAAAGTTAACATGGTGAACAACGGTGAGGTGCGGCGTATCAATCATATGGTATTGGTGATCTATAACATTCCCCGCAGAACCACCGCTACCGATTAGTCCTACTGCTGTCCCACTGGTTTTCCGTGCCGGAGTGAGTTGACTGATTCTGCTAGGTTCTCAATCTCCGACGTGCACACGGGGTGGCAATGACCCACTGCAGTTCCGTCCCCTTTCCAGTCACATTCGGCTCACATGGCTGGACTGTTCCGATCGCTCGCGCATCGCAAATGCTTGGGCAGTGACAGGGTCTAAAGCAGAGGAAGTGGATATTAGAGATCACGGGGTTTGTTTGCTCCTCGTAAGTTATAAACCCCCAAACATTGGCTTGATTATGGAGTCGATGCAAGGCATGTTTAGAAAAAAAGACGACCTGTTGTGAATAAGTGCAATACTCATTATGCTTGTCCGTGTCTGCAACAGGTTATTAGCTGCGTGACCTACAAAGAGGCTTTGAACTGTGAGAAAGACGATGAGCAGTTTTGTCCTGCGTAGACGTGTGAATAAGCAATGGTTGTCATGACCAGCATCTGTAGAATGTTGGACTGAAGTGACTGTGTGGGAGTGGTTCGACCTTGATATGATATGATCAATCAGAAGATACAGTGTGATTGCAAGATTGGAAAAGCAACAGGAACTCGTGATGAGGCAATTAGATTCAAATCTGAGCAGTTGTTCACCTTAGGTTGGTCATAGGTGTAGGCCTGTTTAGACTGTCAAGGCATCTGGATGCAGACTTAGTTCCCTTATTGGAAGAATGTTGATGTATTGCAATTTACATGTCGAATGATGGAGCGTACGTGTTTATAGTAGTATCGTTCATTTCTATGCGATCAGCGACTATTGTTTTTGTTTCAACTTGTAGCCTCATATGGACTGACTGAACATAGCTAATCAGGTTGATATGAGGACCCGCATCAATAGGAGCAGAGCTTACACCATTGTCTTCGAATTATTTCGTCCTTTGGGATGGGATATGAAATTTTTCAGGTGTATATAAAGACACTATACTACTTAACAGTAGAACTTCTGATAGTTTCTTAGGGGCGTGGAACTTCAGTCGAAATTTCGTAATTGTTTTTCTGCCAGAAGTTGAGCAATCGTGCCTTCATGACTTTAAACAATATAGTTTGATACCTGGTTTGACTCCAAGTTACTTTTCAGTCATTTGAGAGGCATGTGTTTTGTGTGGGGGGCTCTCTCGTCACATCATGCAATTTCTGACTGCGTCGTCTATCAAATCCACCAAGCAAACGTAAAGGTGATTGGTTGGTTTGCCAAACCCTGACTGCGACTTGGTCACCGCGGCCCGGCACTTGCGTGATCAGTCTCTTCTTATGCCCGTCTTACGGAGACGAATGCATCGATCAGCCGATAAGGTGGGGCTCATTTTACTTCAAGATTGGTCCACTAAGATGAGTTCTCGGTAACGGGCTTCTGAGGTCAGGTATATTGAATGTCTCCGGTCTGAGGTCAATTGCACGTTCGCACAGCCTGCACCAGGTGTTTGTACATCCCAACATGTCTCAGGCTTTGGCGGATTGACGCGTGTACTCACGTATCATCAGCGAGTGAGAAAGTCTAAAATACAACGTGGTTTACTTGGTGATCCCACTTGAGTCACATCAATTCAAAACGGATGGTCGGTTGGATACCCCAGGAGAATCCGTTCTGGGTTGAAGACATATGCCACCGGAAATAACAGCATTATTGTAACAACCCACTGAATGCCACTTTACACTGTAAACGTTTTTCGCCTCTGAAATGCCCTTCACTTCCGGATCTGTCTTTATCCGCGTCGAGGTTGTAAATATGTATATATGATGTCCTCTGTAGCCTCGTTCCCGCTTGTACGTTCTTATTAAGGTTTTGGTTCCGATAGTCGCCAATGAACCAGTTGGCACTGCTCTCAAACCGACTTTATTCTACTCCGCCTTCACTATCTTAACAACTGAATACTTTTTGTTAGATTGTCACAAAATACAACATACTTGAGGGAGTATAATAGAAGTTTCGTCCTGTAAATGAAGCCAATCTACCGTACAAAGCCCGAGAAGCACCTTACAACTGTTTCAGCTTTATTAGGAATCATCAGCATCTCATTAAACTCCAGAGGGTCTAGGACTCGTGACCCCCCCACCCTGGTTAGCAGTC